TAGGCGTGTGGAGTAAGGAAACTTGCCCAAGGTTTTGCCCTGCCAGGAATCGAACCCAGGTCTCTCGCTTGTGAGGCAAGTGCTCTAACCACTGAGCCACAGGACTCCATATTATATGCCTTCAAACACTGGGTCAGGGATTCTACACAAAATGTCTCCTCTCAGCATGCTTCTAACCAGCAGTTCTGAAAGCATAAATTACAGAATAGGGGGGAAAGAAGGCTGAAATACCATTATGTGTATAATGTAGTATAATGTAGTTTTAGAACACTTAGAATGATCCTTCCCTTTTATGTGGGAGGGAATGGAGGGGTTCTGGCAAAATACATAATATTCCTCCCACTGCTCACAAGATTGGTTTGGGTGAAGGTCCTTTGGCACATCTGATCTCTATTTTCTTAAAGTTGCGGAGGCCGTGTTAAAATAATGATGCGATAATCACGCAAATCTGATTTAATTTTAAATGAGAACAAAAAATGTTGGAAATGCCCAAAGATTGATCTGTATTTAAAAAATCCATGCCGACTTCAGTTGTGTGTGCTGAATTGTCAGCAAGCTCAAAAAGTGAACTAAGTGGTTTTGCCCCCGCTGATAATTCACCAATGTGTCATGCATCGAGTCCTGCTGCCATTGTTAGCAACATCGTGACCTCTGACCACATGCTAATTGTGCGTGTTAGAAGTTTGTGCTCCATCAGAATTTAATCGTCATGTATACACTGTCCCATGCATTGTACACGGACAGCGCAATCCTCCTGTATTCAGCTTAGCTCCCTGAAGGTCAGAAAGCAGGGCAAAAGTGACTGTTGTTCCTTGCTTTCCACTACCTTTATTTTGCAGTTGTTTCGATTTTGTGAGAGTGCCAACGTAATGACATTTGTGTCCAGTTGTGCTGCAAGCTCCATTCATGGGAGATCCTGACATCTAAAACAACAACTTGCATTTATGTAGTGCCCTTCACATGGGATAACATCTCTGAGTGCTTTACAGAGGATCCTGAATAATGGAGTAGAGTAAGGGTGGAGGTGACTATAGGTATGGTCGATAAGGTAAATTTTTTGGGTGGAATAGAGGGAGTGCAAGAGGGAGAGAATTCCAGAGGCTAGGGGTGTAGTTGCTGAAGGCTTGACCACCAATGGCGGGGATAGGAGTTTGCCGAGCAGAGAGGGCAGGCAGAGGAGTGATGTGGAAAATCAGAGATAGAAAGGTACTAGGGCTCGAAGGGATTTATAAGTGAGCGTGAGGACCTTGAAATCGATCTGTTAGGAGCCAGGTGAGCTAAGGGATGACTAGCACACAATCGTTGGTGTGGGAGAGGATGTGTGCAAGATCGCCACACTCGTATACAAATCCCTTCACACCCTAGCACCTCCCTACCTCTTCGACCTGTTTAGCCCCATTCCACCACCTCTGCTTGGCTGGCTCGGGCCTCTTGCTTGTCTCTCATCCCCTCAGCTCTGTGCTTTCAGCCACTACGCCCCAAAACTTTGGAACTCTCTCCCTCAGTACCTCCACCTTGCCTCCTCCTTACCCATTTTCAGATCACGCCTGAAGACCTCCTTCTTCGACCGTGCCGATGGTCACTTCCGCACGGATCGGCATGACGCTCCACCATTATTAAGTGCCCCAAGACCCTACCCTGTGTGAAGGGCACTATGTAAATGCAAGTTGTTGTTCGGCAGCAGAGTTTGTTGTGGATGGTGAAACTCGGGAGATAAGGATACAGGAGGGAACCAAGGATAGTCCACTGAGGTACATCACTGGTGAACGTGAGAGAGGGGTGAGAAATCATCGGAGATAAAGTGGAGACAGTGGATCAAGTCGGAATGGAAACAGAAGAACAAAACACCGGTAACAGGCAGAGGTGCAACCCAAATATTTTTCGCAATCTCCACTTTCCACTGCTCTTCGTGCATGTGGGGGGGGGGGGGGGGCGGGGCGGGTGCGAAGCAGAACATGGCATAAATAGATTGTTTTATGTGTGACCTTTCATGGGCGATCAGTTCTGAAGTTTAGCTTTGAAAATGTTTTACCCTATGGGACCTATAACGTTTCACACACGTATTGACCTGCTCTGGATTTGTCGGCATATTTCTGCTTTTAAGTGAAACTCAAAAGAAAAGCTTGTGCAATTTTTTTTGAAAAATATGGTAAGCCTGGCTTAATACTGTTGGGATGCATATTATAATATAATAATAATAATAATAATCCTTGCATTTGATATAGCGCTTTTCACGTCGGGAGGACGTCCCAAAGCGCTTCACAGAACACACTGTAAAGTGAATTGACTGTATATTAAAGAGAACTTGCAGAATTGAGGGGGGGGGGGAGGAGGGAGAGGAGAAGGAGGAGGAGGAGAGGAGAGGAGAGGAGAGCGAAGCAACAAGAAAAAAAGAAAAAAAAAACAACCCTGGAAAACACGACCTAGAAATATTTTCATAATTAATGTGACAAGAGAGGGGGAGGAGTAATGCATTCCCCCCCCACCACCCCCCCACACACACACACACACCACCCCCCCACCAGCGAGTCCCACCATTGTGTATCGGCAGTGCGCAGGGGAAGGAAGGAGGGGAAGGGCAACGAGGACTCCCGAGCATCTGCAGGCGGCCTGACCCCCATGTCCCTGCTGTTGCGCGATCAGTGTTAAAAATGCAATGGTCTTCACCACCATATTTGGACGGCGGCGCTAAACCGAATGACCTTGGATCGATTCTAGGGGGTGGGCAAACCTATTCCCTCATTTTTTTTTTGGTGGGAAAAATTATTATTATTTTTTTTTGGGGGGGCGGGGGGAGTGGGGGGGGAGGGGGGGAGGAAGAAAAAAAAAGTGGTGGTGGAGGGGGGGGGGGGAAGGAAAAAAAAATAAAACGAGCGAGCGAGTCGATTTGTATTGTTTTATTTAAAAAAAATAATTAAAAAATGATATATGTATATACACACAATATATATTTATATATATATATATACAATATATGCATATATACACTATATATATATATGTGTGTGTGTGTGTGTGTGTAAAAAAAACTTACAGATGTGCTGTGCGATTGTATTGTTTGGCCAAATAAAATTAAAAAAAAGGGGGGAAATCGTTGGGAGGAGGAGGAGGAGGAGGGGGGGAAAAAAGAAAAGCCTCACCTGGACGATTCGCTTTGCACTGAACCGGTTGAGCGGCTCCCGGTGGCCCGCGGGCCTTCCATTTAACCTGAATTTTATTTCATGGGTTTTTATGTGATTTTTTTTTGGTAAATCCCTCCCTCCCTCCTGTCTCTTTCTCTCTGGTGGTCGGTAAGAAGGTGGTGGGTGTTTTTTTTTAATATTAAAAAAAAATTTAAAAAAATTTTTTTTTTGGAAAAAGAAGTATTAAGAGTTCGCGTTTCTTTGTGGAGTGGGGATTTGGGATATAACCGCAAAACGTCGGTATAAGCGAGTGGGAGGGAGGGAGTGTGTGTATTGGGAGCTCTGCCTCGGTTTGTCGGTGTAGTGGCGGGAGGGGAGGGAGGGAGGGAGTGGGTGGGAGGGGGTTGGTGGGTAAAAGCAATGTTATGGATTGCAGGGACTGGTGGGGGTGTGAGAGAGAGAGAGAGAGAGACACACACACACAGAGAGAGGGAGAGGGATGGCGCAGTGCAAAAAGGCCTCTCTCTATTTTCTTTTGCAGCCGTTTGCGGTGTGTGTTGCACGCCTCTCCCTCTCCCTGTGTGTGTCTCTCCCTCTCTCTGTGTGTGTCTTTCTCTCCCTGTGTGTGTGTGTGTGTCTCTCCCCCTGTGTGTCTCTCCCCCTCTGTGTGTGTCTCACTCTCTCCCTGTGTGTGTGTGTCTCCCTCTCTGTGTGTCTCTCTCTCCCTGTGTGTGTCTCTCCCCCTGTGTGTCTCTCTCCCCCTGTGTGTCTCTCTCCCCCTGTGTGTGTCTCTCCCCCTGTGTGTGTCTCTCCCCCTGTGTGTGTCTCTCCCCCTGTGTGTGTGTGTCTCTCCCCCTGTGTGTGTGTGTGTCTCTCCCCCTGTGTGTGTCTCTCTGTGTCTCTCCCCCTGTGTGTCTCTCTCCCCCTGTGTGTCTCTCTCCCCCTGTGTGTGTCTCTCCCCCTGTGTGTGTCTCTCCCCCTGTGTGTGTGTGTGTCTCTCCCCCTGTGTGTGTGTGTATCTCTCCCCCTGTGTGTGTGTCTCTCTGTGTCTCTCCCCCTGTGTGTGTCTCTCCCCCTGTGTGTGTGTGTGTGTGTCTCTCCCCCTGTGTGTGTGTGTCTCTCTGTGTGTCTCACCCCCTGTGTGTGTGTGTCTCTCTCTGTGTGTGTCTCCCCCTGTGTGTGTGTGCCTCTCTCTCTCTCCCCCTGTGTGTGTGTGTCTCTCCCCCTGTGTGTGTGCCTCTCTCTCTCTCTGTGTCTCCCCCTGTGTGTGTGTGTCTCCCCCCCTGTGTGTGTGTGTGTCTCTCCCTCTGTGTGTGTGTCTCTCTGTGTGTCTCTCCCCCTGTGTGTGTGTGTCTCTCTGTGTGTCTCTCCCCCTGTGTGTGTCTCCCCCTGTGTGTGTGTGCCTCTCTCTCTCTGTCTCTCCCCCTGTGTGTGTGTGTCTCTCCCCCTGTGTGTGTGCCTCTCTCTCTCTGTGTCTCCCCCTGTGTGTGTGTGTGTGTGTCTTTCCCCCTGTGTGTGTGTGTGCCTCTCTCTCTCTGTGTCTCCCCCTGTGTGTGTGTGTGTGTCTCTCCCTCTCTGTGTCGCTGGCTCGCGCCGCCTCAGCGCCCCGGGAGCTCTCAGCCCACTCCGGTCATGTGACGGGAACGTAACGGAACGTGCGGCGGACGGTTTTGGCAGTTGGTGCGGACGAAGGGGAGGAGGAGGAGGCGGCGGCGGCGGCAACGGCGGCGGCGGCGCGGAAGCCGAGTGGCGGTTACACCCGGAGAGAGAGGCAGCGAAAAAAAAAGAGAGCGAGAGAGAGAGAGAGAGAGCGAGCGAGGGGGGAGGGAGGGGTAAGGGGGGGGGAAAAAAAGAAGAGAGAAAAAAAAAAGAGTGGGAAAAAAAAAGTCTCAAATCCAGCCCCAGGTCGGTATGAGGAGAGAGGGCCGCGCGGGGAGGGAGGGAGGGAGGGAGGCGGGGGGGTGAGCTCGGGTGTGTTTCGTGGACGGTTCGCTCGCTCGCTCGTGTCGGCGCGGTTCAAATGCTCACTCGGTTAAACATGACCTCCCCCCACGTCCCCGCTCGCCTGCCGCAAGGCCCCCGGGGCTGTGCAGAGCAACGACTGTCTGCCCGCCCACCGGCCCACCGGCCCACCGGCCGCGCCGCCGCCGTGCGCCGTGCGCCGTGACCCAGAGAGAAAAAAAAATGCAGCGGCGTGAGCCCGAGCGGGGGCTCGCGTGTCGCTCGTTCCCCAACCGCCGACTCTTTCGCTAACTCAGACCGACTCTTCTGCCTCTCACTCACTCACCCCCCCCCCCACCACCACCACCACCCCCCCCCTCCGGGCTCTCACCCTCTCCTCCCGAAGAGAAGGGAGACCTTTTGGCTGCTTTTTTTTGTTCTTTTCCCTCCTCGGGGCTGTTAGTTTGGATGTGCGGAAGTGGCAGTGCGGGAGATCCATCCGGTCACGGGGAAGGAGGGGAGGACTCACTCACTCACACTCACTCACTCGCAGCCGAGACTTGCAGTGCAGTGCCGCCGAGAACGGGGCGGGATTGCACACACACATACACACACACACACACACGAAAACTATTATAATCCTCTTCAAAGCAGCCAGTCCTCGCTCTGCTTTTTTTTTTGTTGTTGTTGTTGTTGTTTTAACTGAGATTTGTTTGAATACTTTAAAAGAAGAGAGTGGGTCAGAGTGAAATTTTAGAGAGAGAGAGAGAGAGAATGGATGGTGGTGGGGGGGGGGGGAGGGGGGGAAAAGCTTGAACGCGTGTTGTCGGGGGAGGTGTGGAGGAGTGCAAATCTGTGTCGGTGCGGCGGGTGAGAGGAGAGAGTCGGCAACGCGAAAGTGCGCGAACAAATAAGTTGGCCGATCGAGTCCATGTGTGTTAACTTTATTGCATTTGTGAACGAGCGAGTTGTACCCGCACCACGACAGGTTGCGAAACCCGTGGATGAGTTCTAACCGGACGAAGAAAGCAGCGCGTGTCGGCTGAGTCCGCAAATGGCTGAGAATTTAAATCCGCGGGGCTGCTGTCTTATTGCCCTCGCGTTATTTTTTTTTTAAAAAATGCATGAAATATTCAAGGTTAGCGACCGTTACACGTAAAAAGACCTCGGATCTGAATTATACTGCCAATTGTTTGACGTGTGAGCTTTTTTTTAGGGGGGGGGGTGGCGTTAGACCTTTGGTTAAACCCCAAATGTCTTAAATATAAAAACCTCCTCTTTTATTTATTTAGAAACTCTACTTCCCCGGTGTACTTTGGCAGATTGCCACTATCCTTTAACCCTTGCGCTACTTCGTAGACAGATATTTCAGAACTTAAATGTTTCAGTGCATCAGACTATTTTTGCAGGAGAGTACATTTGCCTGATGTGTTGGAATAATTTATAGTGGTCTTGAGGTTAAATTCTTGCTCTTCTCTTCCCTCCCCATCTGCCTGAAGCCAATTCTCTTTATCTTTTACCCAGTTCAAGCTTTCCCAACTTGCTTGACTGGATACACATGCATGCGTTTTTCAAACTTAGAAACAAGCTCCCTGATTGTTTTAACAGTTTGTGAATGTAATATTACTCCCGTTAAATAAGTCCCATTCAACTGCTATAACAAGAATATATATATAGAAAGGTGGTAAGGAATAAGGACTAATTCTTTAATTTGAATCTTTCTTATACTACTAAGATGAGTCAGGTATGGCTAATTTTCTGTGAAGACAACATGGGTGACAACACTCTTTATAATGTTTTTCTGTGGTCACAGTCAACGTTAGGTAGTGCTGACCACAGGATCCCTGCACTCTAAAGGCCGAGTGCATAGGTTGTAGATGCAGTTTATTTTTCTCTACACTGGGAAAGCTGCACCCCATTTGTTATGGCATGAGCCACAGCTTTGATTTTTATTTCTATCATGAAGATGGTATTGTTTTGTAGATTTACAAATGTACAGTTTTTGTATGGTTTGTGTACCACTGGCGCCAGGAGAAAAATTGCACTCTAAAATATATTTTTTAAAGTTTTAATTAGTGGTTTTGGACAGTTGTCATTCAACACAGGAAAGTTCTGATAAAAGTGTTAGATAATATTTTGACTGGTTTCAATGGCTGGTAAAGCTACGTGAAGAAAAGAATACCAAAAAGCACTATGGAGAAACATTCAGTTGTCATATCCCTAATCTTTTACTTACTTTGTCGGTCCCAGGCAACAAACAGAAACTGCATCAATGTCTTGAGGCAAAAAATGTGCAGTTAATATCACCTTTGTCCCAAAGCACTGGCTTGTGTACTCTATGACGATGTGGTCAAAGCCCTGTGGGAATTATTTTAGGTCTTTTGGACTGTTGAGCTCCAGGTTGTCACCCCAGCATGTTAAGCCTCAGGATATTAAGCCACAGGAGGTCTTGAAGGAGGAGTTGTCTGTGGAAGAACAGGATGTGGCCGATGAACCCATTGGTTGATTGGTGGATCGCTTTTCCAGGGGTAATAATCTTCAAAAAGAAAAAGAAATAATAATGGTCACTCAATCCATGAATGTTTGTAGGACACTGCTATGCGCAGGTGGCTGCCGTGTTTCACCCACAAAATATACAGTCAATTCACTTTGCAGTACATTCTGTGAAGCACTTTGAGATGTCTCAAAGGTGTGATAAGGTGTCATAATAACTGCAAGGATTGTTGTTGTTGTTATTGGACTAGTCAGGAGAATTGTTTAATGCCAGGGTTTCATAGAACATGATCGTGCTTTCTTTGAATGTTCCTGTTAGGGATGGGGGGTGGGGGCACAAAACAATTGTGGAGGATCTCCAAGAGGTTGTGGAGGATCTCCAAGAGGATCCCCTCTCGACTCTCTTCCCCCTCCTCGCTCCCTCCCTTCCCTCCCCTCACCCTGACCATTTCCCCCCAATGCTCGGGTCATGACCCAACTGTGCAGCGCCTTGGGACGTCCTCCTGACGTGAAAGGCGCTTTATAAATGGAATCTTGTTGTTGTTGTTGTTGTTAACCTCGGTGGAATTTTCTATGTCTACGTCCCTTTGGATCACTGCCAAGGGACGTGGTCTTATCTGTAGATGTGAGTAGACTATATTTACAGGGTACATAAATCTGTACTGAGTTGTTTTGCAACACACACAACTAAACTGACTTATAATCCAGGTGTTGTCTATTCCATAACACAGAGATACATCAGCAGTTTAGGAATGCAATCCTTTTCACTTGATTGGCAGTCTAAATGGTTAGGCTCTTTAGGCAGAAAATGTTATTTATCACAGGGCTCAACAGAAATTGGATCTTCTTAAGAGTTATAGAAAACCAATTTCCAAATTAGACTGAATTTTAAGATTTTTACACAATTCTGTATGATCTTAAATTTTAAGAGGAAATGATCGAACAGGCTAAGTTGAATTTCAGTTATTTTTGTGCAAACTCACCCGACATTGCTTTGAAGCTCCTTGAACAGATGACCCAGGTGGGAGGTTGTCTCCTGTTATTTCTGCCTAAGTAGGAGATCACTGATCATGCCATTACACTTCAGGGGAGAACGACTGCATCTGCTGCATTTTTTACTGACTGCTTAAGAACTCTTGCCTTGTGATGGTCCTAGTGGCAGAAAATGAGTCTCCTATATCTGCTGTGGTTAGAGTAGGTTCTTCCAAAAAAAAGAACAAATTTTGCTCTTGATTTAAAACATCGGAAGGACATTGTCCCGTTTTAGATTTTAGACATTTTAACAGTTAAAATTTAAGATAGTAGCACTGTCTTTGGTTCATTCTGGCAATGACAAGTTATGATAGATGTCATCACAGACGACCAGTACTTGGTGCTCTGCTTTGAAGGCACAAATAATTCTGGTAAATTCTGGCCTTGTAAATTGTACTTCTCAGATATCCTGGCATTGAACAGTACCAATCTCACAGGAACTCCCCTGAACTATCAGGTCAGATTCTGCATTCCGAATGCACAAGCTTCTGCTTGACAGCATGGATAAAATGCTTCTTAGATTAGGGACTACTGTGTCTGTAGTGAACACTGTTATGCAAGAAAGCCACCCACCAGCTGTATATATAACAAGTAGAAGAAGTTTGTCCATGCTCATTAGTTCTCTCTCCTGTGGTGCGCCTTCTGTACACAAGATATTGCAGCATCTTTTTTGACTTTGGGGTGAAACTAAGCTCAGTACGAATTCATCTTGCATCCATTTCAGTTTTCTGTAAAATAAAGAACACCTTTAATATCTCACTTCTTAAATTATTTGGAAGATGAAATCATACAGCCTTATTTCCAAAATTGAAACCTTGACCAACTCACAAACAATTATAGCAGCCTCTTGGCATCTAAATATGTCTAGTGATGTGATTTGTCAAATTGTTCCATGAAATAATTCATGTAACTTTACAGAATCCTGGGCCTGTGCTGTAGGTAATAGCATTTGTCTTCCCAGGGTATTAGTGCTCTTTCTCTCCCCAACTCCTCACATGGACCTTTGTGTTCTAACTGTTCAATATGTTCTAGTAATGTGCAGATGATACACAATAAAGATTACCATCTAAGGTGTTCATTTTTGTCTGCATTCTCCTCATCTATGGTCCCACCTGGCCATTTCTTAATAATAATTATCCTTGCATTTGGTATAGTGCTTTTCACGCTTCTGGACGTCGCAAAGCGCTTCACAGAATGTACTGTAAAGTGAATTAACTGTATATTTGTGGGCTAAACGCAGCAGCAAATTGCGCACAACAGTGTACCACAAACAGTTGTGGATTGAAGTGACCGATTACATTACTGTTTTTATTCTTGAGGGATTATTATCAGGCGTGTGGAGTAAGGAAACTTGCCCAAGGTTTTGCCTTGCCTTGTGGGGAATTGCAACCGATTGAAATATAATTTTTTTTAGTTAAAAAGGAACTGGTGCTTTGTAT